CAACTCATCGGTGCTTAGGATAAGATGAACACCGGTGCTCATTAGATCATTTCTGATTATCCTATTTAAAATGTTTCTTTAAGCATTTATTTGTCATTTAAAATATCTTGGATATAGTGAACAAATTATTAGACCACAGCTGGAAATTTTCTTTAAATGACAAAAAAGTACTGCTATGCTAGATAAGAAAGTCAGTCTAGGTTTTGTCCCAACGCGGTTGATTGGATAGCCGAAATATTATCTTTCGGAAAAAAAAAAAAAGCAAGCTAAAGTTTTGGAAATGCATTGCATTATACATTAATTTGGTAGATTCCTGCTATTTTTGTAATAAAATTTGTATAGTGTCATTATTCAAATGATATCGAGCCAAAAGAAAGAGTCTAAGATGTTTTTCACGTGTTCTTGTAATTCATGGAGAGCCGTCCTCTAACTCGCAATTAGAATTAAGTTGTATTTTTGTAAGGTGACTACGAATGACACTACAATCTTTATTTTTTTGTATGTGCATTAAATTTTAATATTTACTTATTATAATATATATCGCCGTCTCACACACACACACACATATCTATATATTATCGCATTCTTAGTCTCAACATTATAATATATGTTGTCACATTTTGTCCATCTTGACGATTTTTATCCAATAAATGTAACAATAAGTAAACAGTGGTTGATGAAAATATTCTCTCTCTTTATACACGACTTAATTCCCATTTTGCTGATTATTTAACACTCATACGATGTAAGTAATTTTCAATAACTTGTTTTACCATATACTCAAACTGAAATGTGCTTTAATAAATTTACATGAGCTCATTTCCAATGATAACGAGAGTGATCATGAACTCAAGAAACTTTACAATCAATGTATGATAAAATTGAGTATGACTAAACTACATGAAGTATAGTTATGTAACTTCTACATTGTGCTCTCCGTTTTTATACGAAAGTTTAATATTATTGCACACTAAGCCCCTGTTTGGGCCACATTCTTTTTTATTGTAAGTTATTTAGCCCCTGTTTGGTACACATTATTTTTTTCATTCTCATTCTTCTACTCATTTTCAACCACACATTTTTCAATAAAATAATATTTTCCATCACATCAATAACTTTTCTTTCCTTTTCAACCACACATTCTCCATCAATCTACTATTCCAAAATACATTCTTCCAAAATAATGTGGATTAAACACACCCTAAGTTAGATCAGTTCGAATCCCATCCTAAGATGGTATTTTGATTTTTTTTTTTTTTTCGAGTAACATATCCAACATCTAGTGTTATGGGTTTGCGTCAGACCCGCCACCTCACCCTCCACGTGTCACCTCACCCTCCACGAACGTGTCATCAGGGAGAGTTAACTCGAAGACATTTTCCGTTGGCCATGTGTCGGAGCCATTTTTTGAGTTCAACACCTAGAGTTGTTGAAAAAAGAAGGAACAAAATCTAAATAGTTTAATATGCAAGTCACCACGGGGCAGTTAAATATATAGGCAGAATCAAGTGTTTAACCTCCATTGTGAAGCAAGGTTTCACCTCCATTGCGATTTGGTTTCTTGCAAGGCCGATTCTAATTATAGGCTCCCTATAACATTAGAGCTTTTATAATATGTAGATAATTAAACTCACAAATTGTATAAAGTTGACCTAAACTCCTAAGAAATAAAAAAATCATGATCGATCGTTTGTTCTTGTATTCCAAGCAGATAACTTTACCTTATCTTTATGGTCATGTATTATATATATATGCAACAATAATTAATTAATGATAAACTAACAGAGGTTAGTAACTATTAAAAAACTTGTCAATATGCATGTTAATAGATTTTTTCCAAATTGCACTTGATTTTTTAATCTGGAGGCTCTCACGGAGTAGATAAGAATAATATTTTGGGTCTGTACCATTTGGATCTAGGTTCCTGATACTTCTCGGCAGTAGGGTGGGTACAGTGTCCATTTCGGTTTGTTGAATATGGGTGACTTAGTCGATCGGGACCCAATTCAGACTAGATTGTTAAATTAAAATAAAGATTTTCACATATCATATGATATTTTAGCTGATTGTGATTGCTTGTAAGTTCTCTCCCTTGATGTGAGTGAGAGATGTCTGCTAGAAAGATGAGAGACAGTGTTTATTGATTCGAACCAAAATGTTAATAATATGATTATGCTCCTTCACCTCCTTGCTTATGAGTCCGAATCACGTGGTAGCAATGGCGGATCCAGAATATCAAGTTAGATAGGACGGTCGTTGATGACCGTAATAATAAGATTTTTTTATTAATATTTAATTAAATAATGTTTAAAAAATCTCAATCAATATATAAAAGCATTAAAACGTAAAAAAACTCATATAAATTTGAAAATATAATCAAATACAACCTAAAATAATAAAAAAAAAATACAATTTTCAATCGTATATGTACAATCAAGTTTCAAGTTTTTAACGAACTCAAATAAAATAGTTTATACATAAAATATAATTAAATGATAAAGATAAGCTTCGAGTTTAGGCGAAAATTATGTAAAATTTTGAAAACAGTGATTTTTAGAACTAAAGCTATTTTTGACCCCAAAGAAAAAGTGTTTTTTGAACTTCTAAGAGAATAAATGACAATACTTTAGATTGTCCAAATTTAAATTTTATAAAATAAATAAATAAAATTTAATAATAAAAGTGTATATATCATAGAGTAATAATTTGAGTCAATAAATTTTTTAAATAAATTATTTCAAAAACGGAAACTATAATATATAATTATTTAGTTATTATTTATTGTATTGAAAAATTGAACGAAAAAAGTAAAAAAGCATATAATTGAATAATTGAACCCCATACCACTAATGCACAAGATGACCCTTCTACTATGTAAGCTACACTTCTTGTTGTTGAACATTGGTATAATTATGAATTAATATTTAGTTATTATTTACATGTTTAAAAGTTGAAAAGGAAAAGGATGTTGAAAAGATTCGAACCGAGAATTGAACATGGAAGATGTCTGCTCCTGTCTATGAGCCATTTCGGTAACATTTCTACAATAACATATATCTAATATTATTTTCATATTTCTTGATTAATTTTTTTCCCTGGCGAATCCAGCACGGGCGGCCGGCTCGGCTTGCCGGGTGCTGGGTCCGCCCCCGCTGGTAGGGTTATTTACTTCTCACATAATTCCCTATAAATAGGGGAACTTGCAGCGCTTCAAAGTACAATCAAACTTCAATTATATATAGCTATGGATATGCAAAGCAACTACATGATGGTCGGTACTGGCCAGCCATTTCTTGACTATCAGGCAGCCAAGTCTACCCAAAATAAGATGAAGCGCTCTGATTTTCCTGATGATTTTACATTTGGCGCTGGAACATCATGTTATCAGGTAGTATTTGAGCGTAACTAGTAATTATACCATTGTCCTTTCATTTGAGGAACAAGAACTCGTGTAATTTGCTTCTGTTATTGCATATATGCAGATTGAAGGTGCTTGGAACGTAGGTGGTAAAACCAAGAGTAATTGGGACATTTTTACAATGACAAAACCTGGTCTCTCTCTCTCTCTCTCTCTCTCTCTCTTCAGTTTTCCCATAGTTGTGTACTACATGTCCATTTCTGAGCATATGTATGTATGTTTATTGAATTGGCAGGTAACATTGCCGATGGTAGCAATGGGTGTGTTGCTGCAGATCAATATAATCAGTTCCGGGTATACTTTGGACTAGGATAAATTAAGTGCTTGTTCGGGATAGTTTCAACAATTAATTTCATCGATATATTTTATCGAATTCTAATGAAACTTTTATCTAAAGCTAGCTTTTGTTAAATAACACCTAAACTAAATGAGGAAAAAAGTAAATGAAAGGCCCACAGCATATCAACATTTTCCTTTTTCCATTTACTCCTACGACAACACTAGAAAAAGCTTTTAATTCTAGAATATCCGCGTACAAGTTTTACTTATATTTAGTAATGTTGCAGGATGACGTGGCTTTGATAAAGAAAGTGGGTTTGGATTCATACAAATTTTCAATTTCGTGGAGTAGAATTTTGCCAGGTAAGTTGGTTCAATAAGTTAGAAGGATACAATTTGTACATAGGTCAAAATTTAAGTTTGATTTGTATTATATTGTATCTTGATATTTAAGGGGGAAAGCTATCTACTGGCGTATCCAGGGAAGGAGTAAAGTACTATAGCGATTTAATAGACGCACTCTTGGCAGAAGGTAGGAAATTATTTCTTTAATTCACACTTTTTATTTACTTAATTTCAAATTGGAATTAAGTTTAAATTTGATATGTATGCTTTACTGAAATCATTACACATTAAAAACTCAAAAGCAAAAACAAATGATTATTATCTCACATCCTTTCAATCATATTTATGTAGGGATTGAGCCATCTGTAACCCTCTTCCACTGGGATATTCCCCAATCTTTGGACGATGAGTTTGGTGGTTTTTTAAGTGATAAAATCGTGTAAGCAACTCGATTTTGCATCACATGGCACATTTTCTAGAGAGATATTTAAGAAATTTACAAACTAAATTCGTTGGAGGAAAAGAAAAAGATATTTTGATATTTTTCCATTTTTGTATAGGAAACATTTTTCTGAATACGCTGAGGTTTGCTTCTGGGAATTCGGTGATCGGGTGAAACATTGGAGTACAATGAATGAGTCTTGGTCCTTTTCTGTTCAAGGATATGCGACTGGCTTGTTTGCCCCTGGGCGTAGTAAACCGCAAGAGGCTACAACAGAGAAAGAGAAAGAAATTAGGAGCCATTATCAGAGAAGTGTAATTATTCCTACTAGTACTACAACCACCGTGGGGAATCCCGGCACAGAACCATATATGGTGGCTCACCATTTGATCCTTTCTCATGCACATGCAGTTGATATATATAGGAGAAAATATCAGGTTCCACATATTTCATTAGTAATTATATATAATACTTTGAAATATATAGCTTATCCAGATGTATAATTTGTACAACGTACAGGAAAGTCAAGGAGGAAGGATAGGGATGATAAATTGCTCTTTTTGGTATGAGCCTCTTACAGACTCCGAAGAAGATCAGGATGCTGCTGCTAGGGAACTTGATTTTGTACTGGGATGGTAACTCAATATCTTGCACTATTTCTAGGCCTCTTTACCATTTTTGTGCGAATCATGTTGACAAGTTTAATCATACAAATTATAATAATTTTATTTTTCCACGTTTTCTTCTTTTGAAGGTTTTTGGAACCGTTAGTAACAGGTGAATATCCAGAAAGTATGATAAAAAATGTAGGAGACCGTCTTCCAAAATTTACATCAGAAGAGGAGAAGCTCGTGAAAGGATCCTACGACTTTTTAGGCATAAACTATTACACAACTAATTATATCAGCAATGATCCAGCAACCCCTACAACTGATAGTTACCTCACCGACGCGCGCACCATTGCGTCAAGTAAGTATTAAGACCTTCTTTTGGGTATTGTTATCGACTTTATCATCACAAATTAATCAAATGTTACTTTTAACATGATTCTTATTACTCTCATTCTTGTTTAGTTGAGCGTAATGGGGTCCCCATTGGTGTAAAGGTAAGCCTTTAACTTTTGCCCCTTTCCTCAGAAAAAAAAATGAAAAAGAAAATTGATAGGATTATATTCTAAAAGCTTAATAGTTTAATTCATTGCTTACTATACTTATGAATCAATATATAATGTAATGAGAATCTTCTTCTTTTGTGTTAAGGCCGGTTCGAGTTGGTTATACGTTGTTCCATGGGGAATTTACAAACTCTTGGTTGAAATAAAGAAGAGATACGGTGATCAAATAATTTATATTACAGAAAATGGTAAATTTTCGAGGCTATATAATTAATTAAGTACGAAATATATTGTAATGCAAGCCAATATTAATGTGTTGTTTTGTGTAGGGGTGGATGAAAGGAACGACAAGAGCCAAAATATTGCACAATCTCTCTCGGATAAGTTAAGGATTGATTATCACAATGATCATCTCTACTACATTAGGCAAGCAATGAAGTAAGTCATTAAAAAAGGTTAATTTGATAATTATCATGACGATAGTTAAATTTTGTTAACATTTGCATTCCTTTTTCAGACAAGGTGTAAACGTGAAGGGTTATTACTTGTGGTCTTTGTTTGACAATTTTGAATGGATCTCGGGGTATACCTCTAGATTTGGAATTTTTTATATAGACTTTGAGGATGGAAAAACGACAAGATACCCAAAAAACTCAGCTATTTGGTGGAAGAATTTCCTCAGTAAGAAGGCTGTTACTCCCTTGAAGAAACAAGCTGAAGAACAATCTGAAGAAGGCCGTAAAAGGCTAAGGAGAAGCTAATTAAATTTATGACAATTAGTGCTTCCTTAATGTTATGTTGAATAATGTATGCTTGCAGCAGCTGTTTTTCTTTTAATTTGTTTCCTTTTCTCGTTGACTGAGAATATGATATTTCAGCTTGTACTTGTTAACTTCTTGGGTTGATCGATGTAATTCGTGAAATAAAAGATTTGGGACTCTTTGTGTTTCAATTACTGTTTTAGAGGAGTATTTTTAATCATATATTTCATTTCAATCCAAACTTTTATTCAATTTTTAACCATCAACTTAATTCGTTCAAAATGTTATTGGCATCTCTTGACCATTTATGTAGCAGTGTAAACTACTAATTTAAATTGAAGAAATAAAATAAAAAAGTAACGAAAAGAATTTAACAATTTTTCCTACGTCCACACACGGTTACACCAATATTTTGTTATATCAACGAAAGAAAGAACACAAAATAGTGACTTCGTCCTTTTTTTTTTTTGGTTCAACAATTCTCCAATTGAGTGAGGAAGATTGAAAATACTTTATTTAATTTATAAAAATCTAGGAACTTATTTTTAATCTTAACGGAGTTATAACAATACTTGAAGGCGAAGAAGAAGGTGAAGTTTAATTGTGAGTGACCTGGTGTGGTGTAGCAGGGAAACAGGTATTTCCCCGGTCGGATTGCCTCCAAGTTTCAGATTCCATCCGAGTGATGAAGAGCTTGTCAATTATTTCTCGTTCTTCTCTATATTTTTATGTTCGGACATGATTAATTTTATACCATAATACTATCCAAACATATTCAATTTCTTAGTTTTTCGTCACATGATTTTGAAACTTGAATATTGTTATTTTATTTCTGAGTCTTGTAACATTGCAACTGCAGAGAAATCCTTTTTTTACCAAGCAGAGATCTAGAGTGGTATTTTTTTTTTTGGGCCAAGGAACAGGAAGTACCCAAATGGATTCAGAACAAATAGAGCAACAAGAGCAGGATATTGGAAGTCCACCGGAAAAGATGTAGCCTAAATCAACCCATTTGAATGAAAAAGACATTGGTATACTATCGGAGTCAAGCTCATCAGGGAATTAGGATTGATTGGGTGACCTGGTGATGCGTGAGCATTGTAGTCGTTAAGGGAGGAAATTAAAACACCATCTTCGCATAGTTCTATATTGAAAGTTATATTTATCTTTCCCATGCCCCGCACATCTATATTCAAATACAGAACGGAGTTACATACGCAAAATATTTTTAATTAAATTCGTGAAATATTAGAAAGCCTGAAAACATTTATTTGACTTGGGATTATTGCAAAGTTGGGATTTGGATCCTCGTGTATAAGCTCATTTCATTGTGATAAAAGTTTTCCCCTTGCAATGCCAAAATAGTCTTTTACTTTTTATTCTATTTATTTCACTGTTAAAATATCAATTGTTACATTGATAAAATTATTTATATTACTATCAAGGTGCAAATGAGATTAATCATAGGTTTTAACACATATATAGGGCATCAAGATTGCCAACTACAACAACTCCTTCACGTTTAGGTAGTATGCACTAGAAAAATCATCCTAGAAATGTGGTGCAACTCAAATAAGTAGTTGTTATGAATTTTGGATCGAGTGATAATGACGATAATGAAATAAACAAGAAAGAGCTTGGACCGGGCAAGTTGTAAAAGAATAAGAGTCCAAAATCGCGTTAAAAACAAAACAAGGGCTTGGACCGGGCAAGCCTGTCGCTTGAGCAACAGGGCAGGGTAGGTAAGCTACCAAATCTCGGGTTGTTTTCTACTGGTCACGCTTGAGCATCCAACTAGCGCCAATTTATAGAAAATGAGGCAACTTTTTCCTCCTGTCTATAATTGTAATCTCTTCACAACCACTCCAATTTAGATTCCAATACCTACTGGAATTTAAGTCAAACCACAACAAATTTCCACCTTGAACCAACTTCCAACACAAGAAATTCCAAGCCATGACTCCGTCAATAATCACCACTCCTTCTCTTCTAAACAAATCCCAATGGACTAAATCAATTACAAACACCCACTAAGTTCAAGAAATGTTCAAACTTAGCAATATGAAGTGGTTTTGTCATCATATCAGCAGGATTATCCTTGGTATCAACTTTAATCACTACAATATCAAGACAAACAATCACATCTTGCACAAAATGATACCTCACATCAATGTGCTTAGTCCTCTAGTGAAACATCTGATCCTTAGTCAAGAAAATTACACTCCGACTATCATAGAACACTGTAAACATCTACAAGTCTTCACTGATTTCACCAATCAATCATCTCCGCCATATAACCTCCTTACATGCCTCTATAATGGCCATGTATTCTATTTCTGTTGTAGACAAATCTACAGTATTTTGTAAAGTAGCTTTCCGCTGATTGCACAACCTCCAATGGTAAACATATACCCTGTAAGTGATCTCATCCTATCAAGATCCCATGCATAATCTGAATCCACATACTCAATGACTCCATTTGAATTTCTACCAAAATGCAAACAAGCATTAGAAGAGCTCTTCAAGTATTTGAAGGTCCACTACATTGCTTTCCAATGTTCCTTGCCAGGATTTGCCATGCATTTGCTAACTGAACTAACTGTATGTGCCAAATCAGGTCTTGTACAAACCATAGTATGCATAAGCGAACCAAATACACTAGAATAAGGAACTCGATACATGTAATCAATGTCTTCATATGTCCGAAGACACAAGTTCGATAATAATTTGAAGTGCGTAGCCAAGGGAATACTAACAGTCTTCGCATTTACCATATTGAATCTTTCAAGACCTTCTCAATATACAATTTTTTATTCAAATACAATATGCCAACCTTTCTATCCCTCAAGATTTCTATACCAAGAATCTTCTTTGCTGCACCCAAGTCCTTCATATCAAACTCCTTGTATAGTTGTAACTTCAATTTTCTAACATCTACTTTATCTTTGGCTGCTATGAGCATATCATCAACATATAATAACAAATATGTAGTTGATCTATAATCTTCTTTTCTAAAGTACACACTACTATCATAATTACATTTGAAGAAATCATGAGTGGTCATGAATTAATCAAAGATTTTATACCACTGCTTCGATGACTGCTTTAGTCCATACAAGGACTTCTTCAACAAGCACACATAGACTTCATTCCCAAAGACTTTGAACCCCTCACGTTGTTGAATGTAGATGCTCTCTTCAAGTTCTCCATGTAAAAATGCAGTTTTGACATCTATCTGCTCAAACTCCAAATCATTCTTAGCCATCACCCTAAGTAAAGCCCGGATGGAACTATACTTCACAACCGGTGAGAACACATCTGTAAAGTCAATACCTGGAATCCAACTATAGTCCTTTGCGACCAATCTAGTCTCGTATCTAGCATCTTCAATCCCTAATGTGCCTTCCTTTCTTTTGAACACTCATTTGCATCGAACAACCTTTTTACCTTTAGGTAAGTGCCTTTCTTTCCGTTTAACACCCATTTACGACGAACCACTCTTTTTTCTTTAGGTAATTTTACTAAGTTCCAAGTGTTATTTTTGCTCAATGACTCCATCTCCTCCTGCATAGCAATCAAACATATGCTAAAATCGCTGCAACTGACTGTCTCTGAATATGTAACAGGCTCCTCAGTGGAATCAATGTCTTCAACCACACTCGATGCATAAGCTACCAAATCTACTTTTCCATACTTATGTGGAGGTCTAATATGTCTGCGAGGTCTATCCTTAGCTATTGAATACTGTGGTGCTGGTGCTATAGGCAAAGTAGGTAAGATATTACTGTCTATCAACCCCAAATTGTACTGATCTGTAGTATACTGTTTTGCAACATTTGATTGTTCCGCTAAACCAACTTCCAACTCCACCTAAGTTGAATGATTATGCTACTCAATTTTATTAGAATCAGGACACCACAATTTATATTTCTTCACACCTGATTTATACCCAAGAAAGATACACTTTCTATACCTAGGCTTCAACTTCTCATTATCTACATGAGCATAAACAAGACACCCAAAAAATACCAAAAAGCTTTTTCTGGTGTCTTTTATCAATGATAGTTGCGGGTAAGCGATTAATCAGAAAACAAGCAGTGGTAGCAGCTTCAGCCTAAACCATTTTAGGCAACCTAGAATTTGAAAGCATACAATGAACTTTTTTCATCAAAGTTCTATTTAACCGTTCTGTCACACCATTCTGTTGAGGAGTTCAAGGCACTGTTAAGTGTCTCAAGATGCCTTCAACCTTGCAGAAGCTATTGAATTTATCTGAACAAAACTCCAACTCATTATATGTGCATAGAGGTTTCACCTACTTTTCAATCTTCTTTCTACCAATGTTTTCCATTCTTTGAAGATCCCAAACATATCACTCTTCTGCTTCAAGAAGAATACCCAATATTTCCTAGAGAAATCATCAATCAATGTCAACAAGTAATAATTGCCTCATTTTGTTGGTACCTTGCTCGGTCCCCAAAGATCTAAATGGATATATTCAAGTGTTCCTTTTGTGTTGTGTCTTTCTTTTGTGAATCTGACTCTCTTTTGTTTCCCAAAAATACAATGTAAACAAAAATTTATTTTGCTAGCCTTCTGCCCATCAAGAAGTCCCTTTCTACTCAGCTTTGCCATGCCATTCTCACTCATATGCTCGAGCCGCATATACCAATATTTTGTAATTTCATCATCTATCAAAGAAGAAGTAGAAACTGTTGGATCCCTAACTATTATGGGACCGTGCAAAATGTACAACTGTATAGAGCTTTTTATGTCCCTTCATGACAATAAGTGCACCCCATCTCACCTTCAAAATTCCACATTCACAAGTGTACCTATAACCCTTTGAGTCAAGTGCACTCAAAGATATGAGATTTCGCTTCAGTTACCTTCACTGATGTATCTGTAGTCCTTCGAGGCAAGTGTAAGCAAAGATATGAGATTTCGCTTCAGTTAAGAAACGTGCCTTACATCTATAAGTGTTCTGACAGCCTTATTGAATATTCTGATTCTGATTGTATAAACTACGACAATTTTACAAGGGGAGTTATTTTTCATAATAACCGCACCTCTCGAAACTCTTGTCATATATTGAAAACCAGTCCCTATTGGGACACATATGAAAAGTGCTAGTCGAGTCAAGAACCCATTCCTTATGTGGTTTGGAATCCATGTCAAAAATCTCTCATTCACTTTGCCAATATGTCACAACATCAGGCTCCACTGAATTAATAGGTTGCTTCCCTTTCTCTATAGCACCAGCATCTTTATTATGTTCTTCAAGGTATAGCAATCAGCTCTAATATGCCCATTCTTCTTACGATAGTGACATGTTTTCTCAGCATGTCTAGATTTCAATTTGCCCCTCATATTTTGCCAAGATTTCTATCTTGGTTCTCCCATGCACCACCAAGCTTTCAGCATGATTCTCAGATCCTGTAGAAAGATGCCTCATATTCTCCTTAGATAGTAAAGTATCATAGACGTCTTTCACGATGAGAGTTTCTAGACTATAGGGAATAGTATCTCTAAAAGTTACATATGATGTTGACAAAGAATACAACATCAACACCAAGTCCTCGTCGTCATACTTAACTTCCATGTTTCCAAATCGAACATGATTTATTTGAACATAGTTAAGTGGTCATCTAATAACGTACTTTTAGACATCTGATGAGAATACAAGCGTTGTTTCAAGTATAGCTTCCTGGTCAAACTCTTTGTCATGTAAAGTTGCTCCAACTTCAACCACAATGCAGTGTTACTTCTGTCCTTTAGAATATCCTGAAAAATTTAATTTGAAAAATGTAGATGAATTTGAGATTGTGCTTTTCGATCCCTATAATGCTTTTTATCCTGGGTCCAAGTAGAGGAATCTTATCAAAGTCAAGCAAGGCTTCCTCCAAAACCATGTGAGCTAGAACCTCTCGCATCTTCACTTGCCATAAGGTAAATCTCGTGTTTCTATCCTACAACGAGATATCATATTTTATTGTTGTCATGTGGAACAATCAACTTTGCTCTGATACCACTTGTTATGAATTTTGGATCAAGTGATAATGACGATAATGAAATAAATAAGAAAATAAACACCAAAATATACGTGAAAACTTAATACGGAAAAAATCACGGGTAGATGAGGAGAAATCTAGTATAATCAATAGCAGTTTTGTTTACAAGACTTCATTGCACTCAATTGAAATATAAAGCTCTCAAGCTATTGTAAGAATCTATCTCTATTATGTTATGTTCTATTTTTCTATACAAGTCATATCACACACACACGCACACAAACCTAAAGAGCAAGTTGTAGAAGAATATGAGTCCAAAATCGCGTCAAAAATGAAAAAATAGCCTGGGCCAGACAAGCCAGTCATCGAGCTAGCGAAAATGCTACAACTTCTTCTTCTGGTCCATAATTTTGATCTCTTCAAGACCACTTCAATTTAGACTCCAATACCCACTAGAATTTGGATCAAACCATAACAGTATTTAATTTGAAGAGTAAATTAAATAATGTATCTACTAGATTTCCCATCAATGAGATATTTATTTTAGGAAACATAATTTGACTTTTATTTTATAAATTCGACTAGTTTAAAGCATATATAAAGGGAGTTTGAGTATTGTAACTTTGATATTGAATAAATTGATATTTTCTCCCTCTAAATTCTTTCCCTATTCTTCTCTTCTATCTTCCTCTTTCTTCATCAACCTCATTCTAATTCGGTTGTGTTCAACATTACAAGTGACAAGGGATAGTGATATAACATAATATGTATTTATTTGAGGGCTGTAACTTTGAGGACCGTTTGAGAACTATTTTCTTGACTTCTTATTGCTAATTCTCCCGTTTAGGAACATTTTGCTATCCGGTTCCAATTGAGAATTCATTAATTATTTAAAATTAATTAAGTTGATTTCAATGTGGAGAGAATGTCATCAATATACCTCGAGTTAGAGACGTCGCTCAAACTTAATTTCGATTATGTTTCCAGCTCAATCGATCAAAACAATTAGCTATTTGATATAGAACTAGATTTTAAATAAATTCCAATCTAGAACCTCAATTTTGATGGTAGAGGTTAAAGAGTCCCAATTGTATTTTTCCCATTTATTTATGGGGTACTTGCAAAAATACCCTTAAAATTAGAGATGTTTTGAAAAATCATATGAAAAGTATTTATAAAGTAAAAAATACTATGTAAAATGAAAAAAAAAAATACCCTTCAAATTAGAGATGTTTTGAAAATTCAAATGAAAAGTTTTTAGGAAATAAAAAATACTGTATAAAATGAAAAAGTGACACAATGTCACTTTTTACTTTTTTTTTTTTTAAAAAAAAAAAAAGTGACACAAATTTAAAAAAAGTGGCAAAACTAAAAAAAGTTACAAATACCAAAATAGCATCATCCATTTGTACAACACCAGTAATTATGTTCTTAAAATAATCACCACGTTCAGGCCAATCCACATGTTGATTACGTAAAAAAAGTGACAATGAAAATGTGATCAACTGTCACTTTTAAAGTTATGTGTCACTTTCGTCCCCACTGGGGTTACATCCCCAATCCAGGTAGAGTTAATATAGCATTAAATGATAGGTGAAATTAAATAAGTTATTTAATTTTACCTATCATTTAGCCAATCATTTAATGTCACACAGACTGGGACTACATAGCATTATTGTAAAAAGTAACACTCATAAGAGTGACAAATTCAAAAACGGTGATAGAAAATAAATACTAAAAAAATGACACATTAAAAATAAGTTACAGAAAATAAAAAAGTGACAAACGCTCACAAAAACACAAAAAACTCAAAAAAGTGACAAATTTAAAAAAATGATATATATCTTAAATCCTATGATGAGATAGAACAAATATCATTGGAGGAATGTCAATAATTTCCGGACAATAGCCACAAGTATTACTCCAAAACTTTATCCACCACTTGCAATTTCAGTATATGAACCGCAAAAACATGGAGAATGAACACTTGGTGTAATAGTTCACACCAGTATCTCAAGCACACAATCTAAAAGATGATTGTAAGACAGCTTCTTAGCCTTAGCCATTATTTCCTGCCATTTCCAAATGTATTGTGCTTGGAGATTGAAAAAATTTATTAAGACAGGGAACAAAGAAAGGTTAAACATTCACCCTACAAATGACATATTCATCATCATATGCTCGAAGCTCTTCGCTTGTTGCATTAAGAAGTGCCCCATGAAGGGTTTCCAAAGTAATCCCCAAATGTTTATAACTTTTCACTCTTGTTTTACGATTGCACTTAAAAGAGCCTAAATATAAAACATACTGAACGTAAATACATATAAATGGACAACATGATGCTCAAGGAGTAGTTGCTACACAAGGGACCATAATAGCAACAATAAGGATACATATATTCAGAATTGTAGTATAAAGCAGAAAACTTTTACATGAATATTTAGGAAAAGGACTGCATCCACAAGACGAAATGCCATGCCATGAAGCCACTAAATGTACATATAATGGGCTACAGCCATAAGCAAAGTCATCAATCCAAAGAAAAACCCCAAATTTTGAATAAGGAAGCCTTTCATTCGCATAATGAATCTACAGTCACATCATTTTTTTAAAAAATATAAAAGTAACATATCAGAAAAACTACAGGTGCTAATATAACTAAGAATTCAAAATTATAGGCACCAACGCCACAAAATCCTTACGGTTCGCATAATATTCAAAGATTCATATGTACCAATCCTTCTTTGCAAATGGATCGACTCCAAACATATACAAACACATAAATATAGGCATAAAAATTTCAGGAAAATCAGAAATCTTTAAGAAACAAATTTAATTGAAAGAAAATGTAACTCATAAAATAATTAAAAGTGTTCATGCTTTCTTCTCCCCTCCCATAGGCGTCTAGCTCCGACATTATGTGCTTCAGATCCTCCTCCTCAAATTTAAACAGAGAACTTTCAAAATTTCACCAAATTCTGATCACAAGATTTTGTTATCTCCATTGATATCAATTTTTTGGAATACCTTCTCAACTTCTCCACAGCTTTCTAAGGTTTTGGGGATTTTAGTGTATTAATTACGGTGTAAGGATGTTAATCAATTTTTAGGATATTATTCTAATTTAATATATTTGGAAGGTGGTGAGCCTAATTTTTCCTTTATTATTATTATTTTTTTTTTTGATATCCAGGTATCCTAACTTACACTAGACTATGTCCTGGACCACCCATCCCCGGCCCCTCAGTGATGGGTGGAGGTTAACCGCGGGATATGCCCACGTTGACCAGGGTCTGTGCACCCTTTATACTCCTGGCCCCAAGGGAGCCTTCCTCCATGGATATTACATCACCAAACTGCTCTACCCAAATTAAGTATTACAACACTCAGCTGCTCCATCCAGGAATCGAACTCCCCACCCTGAGGTTGCAAGCCCAGCAATGCCCATCCTTTCCCAACTTGGATGTGCCCCGGGGGGCCTAATTTTCCCTTTATTTATTGGGCAAGGGAGTGGTTGTTGGGCTTTTGACTTCGACTTCCAAAAATAAGGACAAGATTGACCATGAAAATAGCAACGAACATCTCTCCTTTCTTCTTCAAAAACCTCTGATAAATCATTTACATTCAACAGATTTCCATGTCTGATCATTCTTATTTATCCACGAAACAAAAACCTTCGTATTCTGTCCAAAACTCAAACATGAAGACAGCTTCTCCAATAATCATGGCGTTGATTGTGACATTAGTGAGCTGCATGATGGTTTTATTTTTTGTTAAACCTGCAGATGGAATAATAGGAATCAACTGGGGAAGACAAACCTACCAAAGATTGATCCCATCGAATGTCGTAGATTTGCTTTTGCAGAATGGAATTCAAGAGGCTAGAATTTTCACTGCTGCTGATAATGTTATGGCTGCCTTTTCCGGAAGTGGTATTGGCCTCTCCATTTCCCTCTCCAATTTCGTCCTTCATATGATAAATTCTTCCGCAGCTGCAGAAGAATGGATACAAAAATCTGTTATTAAATTCAGAAGCCAGAATGTTGACATAAGGTTCGTTTTATTCATGATTTGTCCTTTCTTTGTTTATATTAGAAAGGGGGCTCGATCTCTCCTCTAATTAAAAATAGAAAAAAAAATTAACTTACCCGTCCGGGGAAGGAGTATGATATAAAATTTAAAGAAACTTTATTTGTCCCGGTTATTGAACGTGTAGTGCTTTTGTGGACAATGGTCACTATTAGATTCGCAACGTCAAGGGGATTATGTAAATGTATCATTATTGTTATTATTGACTGACATTGGTTTTGTTACAGGTACGTGAATGTTGGGGCCGAACCCTTATCGACATCATTCACTAACAAAACCTACGATAATGTTATTGATGCGTTGAAACTTATCCAAACTGCGCTGAATGATGCTGGCTACGGAGATCTCGTGAAAGCAACCATTCCTCATTACACTGATGTTGTGACGCACCGCTCTATGAAACCATCAGCGGCTTATTTTCGCGATGACATAGAGAATAAAATGGTTGATTATCTAAAATTCCTGAAAGAAAATAATGCTCCTGCTGCGGTAGATATTTACCCCATTCACTATTGCAACGAAAATGATTTGGACCCTGATTTTGCTTTCTTTGATCATAAGTCCAAATTCTACGTGCTCGATGACAACGGCCTAAATTACACCAATGCATTCGATTTCTTGTACGATTCGTTCTACTGGGCAATGAAGAAAGCTGGTGTCCCTGATCTGAGACTAGTCGTTGGACAGATCGGTTGGCCAACAGATGGTTACCCTAATGCCAATACTAAAAATGCACAACGGTTTTACAAAGACTTGTTGCCCTATGTTGCTGGAAATAAAGGAACTCCAATGCGCCCGGGGAGGCCTATTGATGTGTATCTGCACAGCATTTCCGATGAAAACCGGCTTGGTCTCTGGTACGGTGGCTTCCAACGCCACTGGGGCATTTACACCTTCGACGGCCAGCCCAAATACAAGATTGATTTCTCAGGCAAAGGGCGCGATATCTTCCCTACAACTGCCAAGGGCATTACCCGAATGCCTAAACGTTGGTGCATATTCAATGGGGACTTGAGTGACATGGAAATTGTGAAAAGGGAGCTCAATAGGGCGTGTTTGGAATCGGATTGCTCGAGCCTGGCACCGGGAGGTTCTTGTAGCCACCTCGATTTCAATCAAAATGTTTCTTATGCCTTCAATAGGTACTTCCAAATGAAACAACAAAAGACTCATGAGGAGGCATGTAGTTTCCAGGGTTTGAGTCAAGTAGTTCCAGATGATCCATCTACCGGAACATGCATATTCCCTATTGAGATCTTGGCAGCCGAAACTGCTGATAATAGTAAGTCTTTCTTAGGTATTAATGGAGATGGGTCACATAGGGTTTCTATATTATCCATGCTTTTACCTTTGATTTCAGTTTTCTTAATTACTACCAATATAAAATTGTATACTTTGTGAAATGAAGAAAATGTCCCATCCTACGGCAGAGCCACCAAAGAACCCCCACCCACAACTACCCCCACCGCCTACTTTAGGGAATCTGTTCAACATACACAACGAAAATTGAAATTTTCTTGTGATATAAATTATACTTTTGTTGAATTCTGCAAATTCTTTTACTTATCTTGAACACGAAAAATTTCGATCTATAATTTACAGTTATTCAATTGTCCAACCTCCAATAAAAATTCACACAAGGAACAAAAATGAGAGAATTATGGTTTATCTTTTCTTGTGCTCGATTGTGTGTTGTGTTGTATTTTTTCAACCCTAACATCTTATTAATAGCAGTCCAAGTGCGCTTGACCCGATACTTAAACTTCATCTGATCTAATATTTAATTAATCTTATTAATTAAACTTGATCCATTAGTTAATTAATGTCATTAATTAATTTGTCCTATTAACAAGTAATCCAATTAATTAATTGTTCAACAATTATCCATTAATTAATTAGCAGAATATCATTCTTCTAGTTCTCTTTTGTGTGTGACATATTAGGTCCAGATCGTGATGTTTAATGACATGAATTATTGTTTTAATCCAATCAAAATAAGATAAATTAAAACACCCTTTTAATTGATCATTAATTCATCTAAACTAATCAATTCACATTCGTCATCTCAAATTGATATCTAGCAATATATCAGGATAACACATTTAACGAAAAATGTCATGTGGTATGACAAAATCAAATTTGTTCGTTTATCGTGAAACTATAATCCATTCGTCAATATAATCCAATCAACTACGAAATATATGAAGTGTGACAATCTCGATTATCGATCATATCTTTTATTCTACCATTAAGTCAATGTTAATCGAAAACTCTTCAACTTATGAGTATACCTTGGCTAAGAATTTCTTTATCAATTTAATTGAATGAAATGTAGATTAGAATCTTTTACTAGTTAAAAGTGACGAATTATTTATTGATCATTCACAACTTTTATATAATTCTTGACATATTGGAACGATACCATATTAGCGCCTCCGACAAAGCAACATACAACATCATCAAAGCATGATTATGATTGAAAGACAAATTCAACTACCGAACCTTAGAGATAAACCACCGACACTCGAATAGTTATCCACATGGAATCTCTTCAGCACGTCTCCTATCGAGTCCTGCATTGAACTCCAGTTTCAATGCAGGACTCGATAGCATCGTTCTGTACATTTGATACGGTAGGCGAGCATTGCATGCATCTCGGGTATATGTAATTTGTATCTTATAATCACAACTTGTTTATGATTAACAAATTTTTAAAACTTGAATCTTCGAACTCGGTCATTTAAATTAATATAATATTAATTCAATTAAATAATAAATATACCATGAATAAAATATAATAATCATATTAAAAGTGTTTACAACCTAATTCGATTGAAATTAGGATGTAACACTTACCCGACGACAACAAAAACTAATTTGACATGTAATAGTTGTAAAGATCATTGATTTTCTATAAATTTAGATATAATTTTGTTTCATGAAATTTTGATTTTAATGTTTTTCTATTGAATTATTCTTTGAGGTCATATCGCCACATATAATAAAATTATTTTATCCTAATATTTTCGTTAACTTATTAATTGGTTGGAAAACAAAAAATTATGTTAAATTATTCTATCATCCTGACGCAGAGAAACTTAAATCCAAGTCAATAGAAAGTACATTAGTATGTAGAAAAAAACGTAGAGAACAATTGCAATGTATTGAATGTCCTTGTCTTATTACAAATTTTTTGTTCATGCTTGTGGTCGTTAAATATTGAGAAATACTATACTTACACACTTGGTACACAATCCTCTCACGTGTCCCCACAAACACGTGAGAGAATTGTGTATCAAATTGTGTACCAAGTGTGTACAAGTAGTAAATTTGTTAAATATTTTGTACCCAAAAAAGATTACTAGAAGTCAATCATAATCAAGATTTTCTTAGGTCAATTATGTTAATTTTAGTTTGAGAAGTAAAATATTGAAAAGATTATTACTTGTATTTTATCCAAATTTAGGTATCTAAAATAATTGAATCAATGAATTGTCTAAAAAATTTTAGACCATTAATCATCCTCCTATTATAGATAGATTTTCATTGAATAAATTTAGGATCGAGCACAAACTATCTTAAAATTCGTGAAACCAAGGCAAAAGTGATTTTGTGGGATGATGCAAAACTTGGTCAACAAGTGTTATTATTTGCTAACATGTTTGGTATTACTCTTACTTTTTGTAATAGAGAATTCTAAAGAAGTTAATTTGAACTTTACAAACACTTCTAACCGAATAATATTTTCAAAAAATTATTCAAATATAGCCAAAAGCAGTTCCTTAAAGCTTGTTTGTAAATGATTTTCTAAAAATAATTTTCAACAACGCATTTTATGAATACGTAACTTTTTCTTTTTAACCACACATTTTTTCTAAAAATTCAGTTTTTCCGTTCAAAAATTTCTCTCTGAAACAAGTTATTAGTGTTAGAAGTATCTTTTAACTTTTCAAACACGCCCTAACTGTACTTCAGCTTTTTTTACTTATCTTGTCAAATCAAGAGACCTCCATTTTGCCTCGGGTAAGCCAACTGTTATAATGATTCTGCTAAATAGATTTCCTGCCATTATCATGTTTAATCAAGAGCTGATGATGAAGCATAAAAGCAGAAATGTCCATATGGATGAAGCGATGAGAAACAGAAATATCTACTATGGGACGTGCCAAAGAAGCGTTAATTTGCCCGACTAGCAAGGACAACTCTTCGCACGAGGGAGGTATATATAGAATCAACAAGTAAAAATAGAACAAGTCCGGTAGATCCAGATATGCCAACACTGGGACGTAGAACATTGCAAATAAACGATACACCCATTGCCTTAAACAATGGAAACAAAGCAATTATCAAGCTCAATTGTCCATCACAAGAATATGAAGGACGTCGGAATCTAATTTTAAGTTCTGCAGTTATATTCTCGACATAGAAATGCTAGTTGAAACTATAATAAAAAGAGTCCTATCAAATAATAATGAGGCTCATCCCTGCCGATCTTTGATTTCCTGCTCAAATTGAAGTAATTTCTCCCGAAGAGGTTGCAAAAACAATCTCAAATCCTGGCAGATCTGCTGCTTCTCTTGTTGTGAAACATCTATATCTTCACCTAGTTTTACTACAATCTGCAAAGCAAAAGAATGTGGCCAACATCATGTCATAATCAGGTTTCTTGAGACATTTCTTTAAGAGCATGATTGGATCCAGCTTATAAGTGGTCAAACTATCCTATAAACAAAAAAAACACGCAACATGTTGACTTGATAAAAGCGGGACTTATTTTTAAGACAAAAGGAGGATTTAAGTACCTCCATCCTACCTAGGGCTCGTTCGACTGAGCTTTAACTTTAACTTTTACTTCTTATAGAAAAGCTTTATGAGGAAACTACTAGAGTCCAGTTTCCTCTAAAAACTTTTCTAGCTTAGCCAGACAAAGTAATTACAAACAAAACACTTAGGCTCCGTTTGATTAGCCACATTTTCCATTTTCCATTTTCTATCTTTTGCGCTGTTTGATAGCCTAAATTTTCCACGGAAAATATTTTCC